GACCGTTACCTCAATCCACAAAGTCAGCTCAGTAATTAGCAAAGTTGACCCCAAACTAACTGCAGTAGTGAGAGGTCTGAGGTATCTGTGAATTGCTGAGCTATTTACTAAGCCACGCAACTGAAAGTACAGTAAATCCCACAAACAGTCCACTGAGCAGCAAGGCTTCTGAAATGTGTAACTTTTAATTTATTGTTTTAAAGGATTCTGTAGTAGTCAAGGGCCATTAATCATAAATTTGCAGGTTGCATTTTACAGTATGTATGTTTTCCTGATGCTGCACACACCCGGGCTGTCTGATTTCCCAGGACTTTGATTACACTGATTTCACGACACTCTCACAGGGGTCCCTCCTCCTTTTTAACAGCTTATAGCTCCATGTTCCAATTTAGCAAACATCCATTTATTACTTAATATATGGGGACACTATGGCCACGGCTGTCCTCACCTCAAACTGCTGGTGTCATAGATGGGAAATTAAGATGAAACCACGAATGCACTGGGGTTGTGTTTCCAAGCTCCTTGTGACTGCAGCCCTGGGAGGTCACAGGGGCCCAGATGTGGGCTGGAGACAGTCCTGTGTCCTCCAGCTGGGATGTGACGACATTCTCTCTACGTCACCCAGACCCGCATCTGTACCAGCCGTCACCCTAAAGAGCTGCAAAAAGAAAATATGACAATGTTAAAAGTAATTCTTAATTTCATCCTTTAGATATGTTTCTTTATGTGTGTTTTATCATGAAAATAATATTAAAAACCACTCCCAAATAAAGTCCTTTAAACACATTTAAAAATAATAGCCTGTACAACCAAACAATGTTTGGAAACCATTGATCTATTTGACAGGGATCAGTAATAAATGCCTACGCTGCTTAGCTTGCAGGGTGTTAGGATCAAATATGATCACGCGTGAGCCACAGGCATCTGCCCACGGGCGGACAGAAGCTGAAGTTGGTTCCACAGCAGGTGCAGGTCCTCAGAGCAGCGCTGTCCTCGCCACGTCATTTCAGAACAAACATGAGAACCTTCCCTCGTGGGCTCCTTCATCCATGCCTGTCCCTCTCTTCCTCTTCCAGATCAAACCTCGGTCTCCTGTCCCCCCTACCTGGGCCCTCTGTGCCCCTCCGGTTCTCAGCTGCAGCTGTCACACCCCGGGCATTACATTTCTTCTGCCAGTGCATCCCATCTCCCTCCCCCCATTTTAAGCTGTGTCTTTTCTGTCCTCATGGTACAAGGTTTTGTGGGTCCACTTCTCGTGGCCTGGGGCCCTGGAACTTGCTTCTGAGAAAACACGCATGCCACTCTGTCAGTTTTCTATTCGCGGGTCTGAGGGCGAGGGTCTGTCCTTCGATGAGGGGGTCAAAAGTACTTGATGAGCCTCTCAGTTCTACAGCTTGACCCACTGTCCTTAAATCAACACTCTTAACATTACTACATTTTTATACCATTCTATGTTTAGATATTTAGATGTGTAAAATCATTTATCTCATATCAATATGTTCAAATTCAGTATAAAACTAATTCTACAGAAGTACAAGGATTATGTGTGAATATGGATACATAGAAAGAGATAAAAAGATATACCAGCACAGTAAAAAGGGGTTACCTCTGGGTTACGAGATGTTTTTCCTTTTTTTATTTCCTATAAATTTAAAAATAAGATATGCTAATTTACAATCAGTAACTATAATAGCAAATGCTATCAAATAAGTAAAAGCCACAGGATACTATTTTGGGTGGTCATTAAAAGGCAAGATTCGGGCTGGCCTGGTGGCGCACTGCTACAGTGCGCCGCTTGGGAAGCGCGGCGGCGCTCCCGCCGAGGGTTCGGATCCCATATACAGACCGGCCGCTCACTGGCTGAGCAAGGTGCGGGAGCAACACCGAGGGTTGCGATCCCGTTGCCGGTCCCGGTCCGGTAGGGGCGCAACACTGAGGGTTGCGATCCGCTGCTGGTCACGAAAAAAAGACAAAAAAATAAATAAATAAATAAAATAAAATAAAAGGCAAGATTCATTATGAGGGTGAGTCTTCAAGTGTATGAAAAAGATACACTACCAGAGAAAATGGGTACAAATTCTTACTTTTCAGACTAATTTGATAGATCAACTTAATTAATGAAAAGACTGGATAAAACACTGAATTTAAAAATACAAAAACCTTAAACTAGAGTGGGATTTAGTGACCAGCTGGCACAACTGCCCTTAGTTTCCACACTGGGAGGCTGTTTGCAGGACACGGCGAGATCAGTGGAGAGGCCCTGGCGGTGCTGGTGGGTCCAGGTGCTCGCGCTCCCTCCTGGGGCCCTGAGGCAGTGCACGGGGGTGCAGGCTCCTGGCAGTTCCCCACACCTGCCCTTCCCCATAGCCTGGCTCACCATAGTCTGGCTCACAGCAGCCGGCGCCCAGGAGGGCTTTGCAGTAACGCTGAGGAGGAACACGCACGGAGCTCACGGTCACTGATGCCACGTCCCGCAGAGATGTTCCCCGGCCACCCGCTGGCTGGGGCCCAAGAAGAGGAAGACAACCACCCCCCCCACCCCACCCCTTGCTTGTTCTTCCCAACAGGGAGAAATTCAGGTACGTTTGGCCAGATTACAGGATGCTGATTGTCAAGCTTTGCCAGTGGGTTGAGCTGCTGTTTGGGGCTTTTTCTTTTTTTCTCTGCCACCTATGCTGGTGACCTGACCACAGGCACAGCCCCACAGGGGAGTCAGTGGGACTGTCCTTCTCAGTGCCTCCTTCTGCCTCTGTCTTTATCTCTGTCTCTGCCTCTGTCCTCGTCACCATCGCCAGCTCCGCCCCTGTCCCCATCCCAATCCCTGTCCGTGTGTCTGCCTCTGTCTTTTATCCTTCAGGCTCTGCCATCTCTTCTTGTCTTGGAACCCTCCTCTGCAGCCAGTCTATGAGAAGGTTTGGGTGTGAGCTAAAAGGACACATAAAACCCTCACATTCCCTGGCCTTGCTTATTCGAGGTTCAAGCTCAGTTTCTAATCTCTATTTATTGTCTTTTTTCCATTGTTCCGTTGTATGTGTCACAGTCAGAAATATCATGAAGAGGAAAAGAAGTCAGGTATTTCCAGATAACATACTAAACTCATCAAAACCCGCCCTCAAGTGATAGCAGCCAGAGTTGGCTGGAAACCAGAGAGATCCCGACGAAGCTCGAGGAGCAAGGCCGTTCAGCGTGACGATGCGTCCGGCTTCTGAAGACAAGCACAAACCGAAGAGCGAGAGACGCAGGGGAACTCGAACAAACCAAAGCAAACCGAAGTGAAACGCAGAGAGCAGGAGAGAGGCAGCTGCCGTCTCTTAGGACTATGGTCGAGACCTACGTCCAGGCCTTTGTCTCACCTTCTAAATTCCTAGATGGGAGGGAGCCTCTCTGTGTCACCAGAGCCATCTGTGGTGGGCATCGGCTGTCTCCAGCCCTCAAAGCTTCCTCCTCCTTCAGGTAACAGCTTCTCAGCCCCCTGAGGTCACTGCGTGCCCAACTATGGTGATGGCTTCAGACTTACACCCCCTGGGCTTTTCGGTCACATGGGCTGATAAATGCTCTTGCTGCAGAAGAAGCGAATTCCTGATTCCAAGAGGAGGGAATAGGTCACATTTAAGGACAGAAGCTAATTCTGCACTAAATAGAAGCTAGAGCCCCAAATTCTTTCCTGTTTTGAGATCCGTACATTCAGGGCTCCTGGGCATGTCCCTGCGACCTCCTCTCCACCTGCACTCCACACTGCGTGACCTGCCCCATCCCTCGCCCCAGGTGCCCAGGCCACGCACCCAGAAGGAAGTCCCCTCTCCTCCTGTCCCCAGTTTAATCAGCCCCATGGCTCGGCTCTGCTGCACACACCCGCCGGGACCTCCAGAGTCCGCACCTCTGTCCCCCACAGGGCCATTCTCTGAGTCTGGACCACTGCGCGGGGAGGCAGCCCCAGCACCACTGTGCTGGTCTCCTTGCCCTGAGTTGCCCCTGCACGTTCGTATCTGACCACAGCATGCCCGGGCGGGACCAGCTTCCGACTGCCCCCAGGAGGAGGCTGTCACCCCCTCAGAAATAGCAGCCCTTCCCGCCAGAGCAGCTGCGTCTTTCTGCTGTCTCCACCCCCCCCACACACATTTTATCCGGTTACTGGAAAGGGCTGTGTTCTCCCCTCCCTCTGGGCCTGGGACTGCCCAGCCTTTCCCTCCCCAGCTAAATTCCTCTGCCTCTAACCCTGGGCCTGAGTCGCACGTCCTTGCCATGAGCATCTGCTGCCGTTCAGCGCAGCACACTGTCCGGCAGACTCCCTGGTATGTTCTGTCTAGACAGGAGGGTTGCAAACAGCATCAGGGCAGGGGAAAGAGTTAGGCTTGAGAAGAGAGAGCGGTGGGCACAGAGGAAACTGGAGAGTGCACGAAACCTGCCACTCACCCAGATTTCATGATTTCATATACTCTGTGCCAGTGGAATAGGTGCTGTGAACCAAATGCAAATAGGGACAAGCAGCGGTGACCTCTGGCTCCATAAGCAAAGCCCATCTGTCACCTTCATCATGGAATTCCCAGCTCCTGCAATCAAGCCTCTCCCGTGGTTGGCACTCTACATATTTCTTGAAGGCAGTTTAGGATCTTTGGCTAAATGGGAGGGCTTATTAATGTAGCAAAGCTATGTTTTTATCCAAAAGAATGTACAGGTAAAAAGAAGCGAATTACCTTTATCACAGAGGCATGATTATTAGGCAGGTTGTTAAAATATAAGTTTAAGTTCTACTTTGCTAGGTTAAATTATATCCTGGGAATGCACAAATTTTAAGGACAAAGATCAATGAGTTTTGGCATTTATATCTGCCCTCGTAACCACACCCCTAATAAGATATAGAATATTCCTGTTACCCCTGCTAAATTTCTTGTGTCTTTTTATGGTAAATCCTACTCCAGAGTCAACCAGTGTTTTGGCTTCTAACACTTTAGATTATCTTTACCTGTTCGTGAATTCCATATAAAAGTGAAATTACACAGTATGAAGTTTTTTCTGTCTGTCATCTTCTGTCCAGCATATGGCTGTGCGACCTGTGCATGCTGCCGCAGGTATCAGCATCCTGTTTCCTTTAATGACTGAGTAGTATTGTATGAATTGTATGAATGTCTCTCAACGAGGTTAGTCATTCTCTTGTTGATGAAATTTGCATTTCAAGTTTTTGACCATTTAGAGTAAATTTACTTTGAATATTCTGTACAAGTCTTTTTGCAGACGTGCGTTCATTTCTCCTGGGTCGACATCTAGGAATGGAATTGGTGTCTGGAAGGCAGGGTGCACGCTAACTTTCCAAAGCAATTGCCGAACCCTTCAGCAGCATGGCTGCTGTGCTCCTCCCAGAAGTGTGTGACAGCTCCACGTACTCCATGTCCTCCCAACATTGTGCCTTGTCCGTCGTCTTCACTGTATCCAGTTAGTGGGTGTGAAAGGTGTGTTGTTATGAGTTAGTTTTCCTTTCCCTGAGACTAATGGTGCTGAGCAGCTTTTCGGTGTTTTGCCGCATCCAGCCGACGCTAGGAGGGGAGGAATATTCCGCTGAGCGGAGGTCCTGCAAGGCGCTGGTGGAAGATGCTGCTGTGTAGTCTTCTCAGCAGAGAGGGACCTGACAGCTGGGAACCACAACGTCATCTACAGCAGAGTCCTTACAGCCTGGTGAGATGGGAAACCTGAGATTCGGAAAAATTAAATTTCAAAACTTGGCATCATAACTATAAATGCCAAGGGTGTGATGGCTCCAAATCCAAACCTTTCTCTTTCTGTGGAAGGTTTTTCCATCAAAATAAGGTAGTAATTTGGCACTGAATCTCTGATAAATAAAAATAATCTGAAATGAAAACTTCTTTGATATATTTTATTTTATTTTTTCTCAGCATTTTACTTCCAGCCTTCTGGAATCTTCTGTCATCTGTTTCTATACTTTTGAAACAAAATGACTACCTGCACTATTTTTTGACTTGTCCTTATTTTCCATCTGCAATTGACATAGAATTTATGTAATTTTTATATATAGCTGATGTGTTGATAATGGACACGCAGAAGTCCCAAGTAACACCCTTGCTGCCAAGATGTGGAGTAAATCCTGGTACTAAGTGGAACATTGTCATTGTGCTCAGGTAGATACTCAAGATATGGAGCATTTGCAACAGGATGCAGGTGCGAAGTCAGGGCACGGTGAGGCTGGTGGGCCCCGCCCTGCTGCTGAGGTGGGGAGGATGGGGCGCAGCTGTGACTGCTCGGCTGCAGCTTTGTGTCGGGTGCAAAGGGACATTAGTAGCACCTCCCAGGGCCCCTCAAGCTGCCCTGCCTCCGCTTTCCTTCCAGATTGCAGGAATTGAGTCAGGGCCCTCGGATGTTAGAGCTGCAGGGACAGCACAGGAGGCAAAGCGAGGGAGAGAACGGCAGAGAAGAAAGCTAAGCAGGGGCCCCGAGTGAGGGACACGCAGACAGTGGCTGCGCCCTGTGAGTGTGCCCTGCCAAGCTGTCCCACTGTACAGAGCCCCGGCACCAGGCTCTCTCTGTTCAGCTACCCATTCTGTGCAGAGAAAGGCTTCACAGTCAGCTTACGAATGCACCACACGTCGTCAGTTATTAGTAATTAATTATAAATGTTAAACGAAAGTCATAAGTAAATACCAGGTAACTACTGTGTGTTTGATTTTCAAGAAAGCCCTTTGTTAAAGCCTCAGCCACAGCTTTGGCTGCCTGGCTGCCATCTTGCCAACATCCTTACCTGCCTGAGAGCAGAGGCACCAAACCCTTCCTGACCTTCACCTGCCCCAGATGCTCACCTGCGAACGGTCACCTGCCTGCTCACTTCCCAGAGGGACATGGACAATGGGAAGAATTGGGATGTGAAAGGACATCGGCTGCTCAGGCCTGCGGACTTCTGTGCACTCATTTGTCTGTATCAACCACATCTATTCGCACCATTCCTGCATTTTACTAAGTACTGATGTATTTTTAACCGTTTTTTGCAAGTGACCTTAGAGTTTTTAAGTGGATTAAATAACTAATGTTACTTTTTAATTCCAATGTCATGTCATGTAAAATTAAAACTGATGAAAATAAAGAATTTCAGATGACGAGACCATTAAACATTATATTAAAGTTTAAGTCAGCGTTGTACGCGTTTGTTCTTTAATGGGTGTGGGGATGACATTTTGTCATGGTGGGTCAGAAAGAAAGACATCCCCACTTCCCTGCTTGCTTACACATCTTTTCATGGACTTGTGTACTGAGATGTGCCATTGACGGGTTATTAGGCCAGATTCTGTGGATTTCTAATAACTAAGGAACACTTAGGCCCTCAGGAACTCACTATTCATAAAAGTGACTATAGACCTGTTTGCCAGGTTTGCATCGTACAAATTATGCACTTATGACATGGGTTGCACACTTACCATATTTCTAAGCCATAAGACATCAGAATAATTAGATTACCTCAGGTTAAGTCCCACAATTGCCATGTGTCCTGCACTACTCAGAACGCTTTGCTTCAGTCCTGGAATGTTGTTTGATAGCCGTGATATGCTCACAGTGATCTGCCTGTCGTTAGGGTGCAGTCCATTTGGTGCAGACTGGGATGTGCGGTGGCTACTGCAGTTCTGTCAGCTGGAATAGAAAAGCAGTAACTGAAACTCTCATTCTGTCTTCCAGGAAGATGCAGTCCTCACATGTAACTCACACTGGGGAAATGCATAAACCTTTTATTAGCTCAATTTAACCGTGAAAATGGATTGTTACTGATTTTACAATGTAATGAAGAATTCATGCTCAATGCAATAAGCCTATGGCATTGTGACAAGAAGATTCATGGTGATAAGACAAGTTTTTAATTAGATAAAATTCAGAGCAGACCCACGACTCCCTTCTGGTTTTATTTCCCTGCAGCTCTGCATGTGGCAGGTGCCATCCTGAGCACAGGGGTGATCCCAGGTACCTGCAGAGCACAGGTGGGGACAGCCTGAGCCTGTTGATAGCACAGGTGGGGACAGCCTGAGCCTGTTGACGGACACAGACCATCGAGCCAGCCTCCGCACTCCTGTGGTATCAGAATCGAATCACACATTTATGTGCAACTGCATCCACAGAGTTTTAAAAAATTATTTCATTTATACATATTTATGGGTACAGAGTTGGCTATCAGTGTTTGTGGACAGTATGTAAAGATCAAATCAATATGATTAGCATGGTCATGGTCACAAATTGTAATTTCTTTTTGTGTCTGTTACCCAGTTACTCCCGGTGCCCACCTCCAGTATCTGCAGGTCTGTTCTCTCCTCCTGAGAGTTCAATATTTGATCATGGTCTTTCCCAAAGAATATTTTTTTTCTTCCCTTGGATAGTCCTGGATTTTGCCCAAGCAAAAATTATATTTAAAGGGAGATCCAATCAAGATGGTGGAATAGACGGTCCACAGCATCACTCTCTCCCACAAATCAACCAATTTACAACTATAAAAATGTAACTTCAGCCAAGCCAGGGCCGCTGGAGCTCAGGGGAAGAGGAGGAGAGACCTATGGAGTTCATGAAGGCCACAGAAACTACAATGAGAGAAAGAAAAAGCTGCTTTGAGCGTTTCCAGCCACGGCTGCTTTAATGCTGGAGCTGCTGAGCACATGGAGCAGGAGCTGGCAGAAGCCACAGCTGTGCCCTTTAGATGGAGTTACTTGGACGTGGAAGGGGAGAAGAGGGCCTTGGTGGCCCCAGGACAGCAATACCACTAATAAGGTTCACGTGGACCCACGCAGGAGCGAAGAGCCAGAACAACTGAAAAAAGGGAGCCATTCAGAAGCTGGTGAGTCATCGCAAGGGACCGGCACATGGCCCATCCCATGGCCCATCCCATGGGAAGTGTTTACAGCATGGGCGGTGGGGGAGACGTGCCCACCAGGGGAACACCAGGGCACAGCAAGGACAGCTGATCTGCCCCCCAGTCAGCACAGGACCACTCAGAGGAGACTGGTTGGGAATGCAGAATTGCATGGGGTGCAGTTTGACGAAAAAACTCAGGCCTAGATCAGAGATTCTACAGAACACAGATGCACCGGGTCTCTGGAGAGCCAGAAGTACCTATAAGGTCAACCATTAAACCCTGAGCTGCACAAAAAGCCTTCCCTAGGGAAACAGCAGCAAAGTAGCAACTTAGCTCAACCACACAGCTCAAGTACTGGTTCCTACAGGAAGTTCCCCCATGTTAGAAGCAAAGGACAAAAAATTAGTTCCAGGCCAGGCACACCACCAGCACCTTGGGGCCTGCCTGGGGACTGGAGGCTTGGATCTGAGGCCCGGACCCCACTTCCACTTCCAGGCAAACTACACCTTTGCATCGGGGCCAGCCTGGGGACCTGAAGCATGGAGAAGATTACTGGACCCCCCTCCCACAACCAGGCACTCCACGCCAGCACCCCCGCCCAGGAACCTGAGGCAGGAAGAAGGGGACAAGACCCCAATCCCACTTCCAGGCAAACTGCACCAGTGCATCAGGGCCAGCCTGGGGACCTGAACCATGGAGAAGAGGACTGGACGCCCCTCCCACAACCAGGCACTCCATGCCAGCACCTTGGGCCCCGCCCAGTGACCCAGGGCATGGAGAAGGGGACCAGACCACACCCCCACAACCAGGCACACTGAGCCAGCATCTTGGGGCCCACACAGGGACCCGGGGAATGGAGAAGGGGACCAGACCACCCTCCCACAGCCAGGCACAACATGCCAGCACCTCAGAGCCCACCCAGGGACCCGAGGTATGGAGCCAGGAGCCGGACCCTCCTCCCACAACCAGGCACACCACGCCAGCACCTCAGGGGCCACCCAGGGACCTGAGGCATGGAGAAAGGGACCGGACCTCTCTCCTACAACCAGGCACACCAAGCCCGTGCCTCAGGTCCTGCCCAGTGACCTGAGTTATGGAGCCAGGTACCGGACCCTCCTCCCACACTAGGCACAAAATGCCAGCACCTCGGGGCCCACCTGGGTACCCAAGGCATGGAGAAAGGGACTGGCCACCTCTCCCACAAACAGGCACATGGCACCAGTGCCTTGGGGCCTGCCCAGGGTCCAGAGGCATGGAGAAGGGGACCAAACACACCCCACAACCAGGTATACCATCAGTGCCAATGAGCATGCCAAAAACAGCAGCCCCATGTGGGTGGCCCACCACAGCCACCACAATAACCATGGCTGCTGCAAAAGTGGCTAGACATCACAGCCACCACGCAGATGGTTCGCCAACCACTGGAGTGCATTCACACAAGAAGAGTCATCAGCAGACACAAAGAATAGAAGAGGATGTCTCTTTCCACAAAGCCCATTTCAGAGTGACAGAAGAAGCATCTGCTCTGTGATAATATTGGGGGACCTGATCACATCTCTCAGCATTGGACAGATCATCTAGGCAACAAGCTAACAGAGTAACCATTATTTTTTCAGAAGGAGAAAAGAAATCTAGGCAATTAGAGGGGGGAGGGGGAGGGAATGGGGGAAGGGGAGAGGTTGGACAAGGGGCATAAAGAATAATTACGATTTGTAACAATATACATGCTAGTAATACTGATTTAATCAACATATCTCAGTGTTCAACCCCCAAAATATGTATAATCGATTTTGATTCAATAAATCATTATTAAATAAATTATTTTTAAAAAATTATATTTAAAAATTTATACCCACCAATTATCTAAACTTGTACTTGGGTAATAACAAACACCAAGGGAGTGATGACGTTCTGAACGTGTCCCTAAAAAGGTCACTCTGTGTTGGTTTTCCACCTGTCCAGAATCCCACCTTCCCTTGACCAGTCTCACTGCCCCAGCCCCTCGAGTAAATGAGTAAGTAGGTCCATCATAAGTAAATCAATGACCTTTCTGTCAGCAAGACTCGCCTCAAGCCACAGGGCGGAATCCACAGGCCGGACCGGGCGCCCGACCCCAAACCTGCTCCTTCCAGAGCCCAGCAGCAAAAATGCAGACGCCGCCTGCGTGTGGAACGTGTAAACTCCTTTCCTCGTTAGATTAGTTTCAGCGAGGGAAAAGCGCCCGGGCTGTGGGAGCGAAGCATGGGACGTCCCTGCGGGCGCGTGCGGGTCAGGACACGCGGGAAGCCACCTGCGAGTGAAGGCACAGGAGTGGGGCCAGCGGCACACGGGCCGCTCAGCGTCTTCCTCCGCGCGTGTTGATTCCTGACGCGTCCCTGCTGGCACCCGTGCCGTTTCCACGGGGACATCAGCGCAGTTTAGTGGGAAGACACTGGCTGCCGCCTCCAAATCTCACTCTGCAATGTGTTAACTGCAACCTCGTCACCTTCCAGAGGCCCGTGTCTTCACCTGTGGGGTGGGGTCGAGCACAGGTGTGCAGCACAGGTGTGCATTGGGTGTGCAGTACAGGTGTGCAGCGCAGGTGTGCATTGGGTGTGCAGTACAGGTGTGCAGTGCAGGTGTGCATTGGGTGTGCAGTACAGGTGTGCATTGGGTATGCATTGGGTGTGCAGCACAGGTGTGCAGTGCAGGTGTGCATTGGGTGTGCAGTACAGGTGTGCAGTGCAGGTGTGCATTGGGTGTGCAGTACAGGTGTGCAGTGCAGGTGTGCATTGGGTATGCATTGGGTGTGCAGCACAGGTGTGCGGCGCAGGTGTGCATTGGGTGTGCAGTACAGGTGTGCAGTGCAGGTGTGCATTGGGTATGCATTGGGTGTGCAGTGCAGATGTGCAGCGGTGGTTTCTCTCGCTGCTGCTGCCTGGCACCTGGCTGTCCTCGCAGGTCTCGGGCCCCTCACCTCCAGGACATGGCTGTCAGGAGGAGCGTGCATAGGAGCTTGAAGCCTGACTGAAGGAACTTTGCCTCTGACGGTGGAAACCAGGAACGGCCCCCGGACCCCAGGGACGCAGAGCTGCCCCTTACCCCGCAAGTCCGTCTTCCCTGCACACAGGCAAATTGTGGTGTTACTGACCGTTCTGGGTTCAAATCCTGCCTCTGCTCAGATGAATTGGGCGACCCAGACCGTTACTAGAGCTTTTTAAATCTGTTTCCTTCTCTGTTGAAAAAGGATCCAATACTTTTTAGGTGCTTAAAATTACCTAAGCCATCAGTTGTAAAAGACGACGTATCCAGCATTTTGCACGGAGCCTGGTGCTTAGCAAATGCTAAATAAGTGCTGGCCGTTATCATCCACTTAAAGTATTTATTGCTGCTGTGCTTAACTCTGGAAAGCAAAACGAACGAGTGTCCCATTTTTCTGAGCGGAGACGGGTCCAAAGATAGCCAGCCTGGAAGGCTGAGGAAGGGGTCCGGGGCTCCCGACCACGGGGACACCAGGTAGCTGGAGCGTCCTGGTCCCTCGGGGGCTGCACCGCGTCCGCTGGGCTGAGCCTGCAACCCTCGCAGACGCAGAGGCTCCTCTGGTTCGGGTTTTTAAAATCCATTTTGCGGGTGATGATTCCTCACCTCAGCGGCATCGTCCTTCCTGTATAACACTGCCTGACGTTTTCCCGAACGTTTCATGGAAGAATCCCACAAAGACCTCAGCATCGGGAAGACTGGCGGGAAACGTGCCCTCCCCCAGCGCACAGGGGGTGACCGCAGGGGTCTTGTCACATTTCACAGAAGCTGATCCCTGCTAAGGGTGGCACAAGGTGAGCCTGGCTTTGAAGGGGTCTGCAAGAAAGACAAAACGATTTACCTGAAAATTTAAAAGTCACGTACAGAGTTCTCTAAGTCCCTTCAGTGCTGCCTCAATCACTATGTATTGGGAGCGTTTGGGGAAAGTTCGCTGCCTCTTCCGTGAATGTCACAGGCTGAGCTTCTAACCAAGCACGAACTCATGGCTATTGAATACAAGTTACGAAACAAACGAGGGGAGAGGGTAGGGAATTAAAAGACACATGGGACAGGACACTTCCTTCAAGGGTCTGGAGCTTCTGCAGGTGGGTCAGAGATGCCTGTGCAGGTTGACCAGGCAGGGCCGTGTGCACGTGGCAAGCGGGAGCATGGGAACAAGGTTTCTCAAACTAGTCTGCACAGTAATCTCTGGTGATGTTGTTAAAACGCAGGTTTAGACTCGCTAGGACTGAGGCAGGCCCGAGGTGACACTTGTTTGGCCACACGTTGAGTGACGGGACGTGGAACACGCCGGGAGTGAGTGGCAGTTATGGGACACAGACAGAGCCGCAGCACCAAGGACCTCGGTGGAGACAACCGGGGAAAGTGGCTGTCCTGACACAGGCCACAGCCGAGGCACGGGGCCTCAGGCCCACCTGGGGAAGGCGTCCCAGCCTCTCTGGCCCCGGCCGCTCCTGGGGGCTCAAGTTCCCTTCCGGGTGAGAGTGTGGACACCTCCAGTGAACACCTGAGCACGTCACTCAGCGACTGGCAGTGTCGGATCAGAGCTCCCTCCTTCAGATGCCACCAGTGGTTCCCGTGATCAGAGTCAGGGCAGTGGAGGCGGCTGTGGCGGGGACGTTTGAGGGGTGGCACGGTGCACACTCGTCACTGTGCACGCAAGGCCTGTGGCACGCACATTCCTCTGCGTGGCCTGATCTTCCTGCTTCTCCTACTTTTCTTATAAGTGAATTGAAAATGGTCTTCACTGTAAAGCACAGCTCTACTGCTAATCACAGAAGGCAGAGTAAAGAAGGACAGTAAATACACTGTATGTGGACACGGGCCTGGCAGGGGCCCTGGGCAGGGGGAGCAGACGCTGCTGAGACCGAAACGCAGGGGAGGGAAGTCAGACCTGGCAGAGGTGAGAGCGTCCGTCTTCCTGTGCTGTTTTACATGCCGCGTGGAAAAGCCCGATGCTGCCTTTACTCCCCTACGTTCTCACAGGAGCGCAGTTCCAGTGGATCCATACTACAAATGACTAAGGATCTTCAAAACACAATTCTAAAATTATAAGTGGTATTTTTCAAATCAAGGTTTAGCCAAACAGACGCTCCCTGCCCCCCCACCCCCGTCCAGCAACCGTCTTCCCCCTGTCTCCATATTTTTAGGAAAAGGAAATGACATATAAATCAATCTAATTAGAAAGTGATTGATATGGAGAGAGGAAATTCAGTAATCATCTAATCAATGCTCTGGAAGAGTACGGCAAAATGAAAGTAACCAAAAAAGCAGTGAATTTTTTAGAGTTCATGATAGAGAACTTTGCAGCAATCGGGCAGAACAAAGAGCAGCATCCCAGCCAGAGCTGCATGAGGTAGGAAATCTGCCTGTATCATGTTTCTCCATTCAGCCTCAGCAACAGCCGAGCTTTGTTTTTAGAAAAAGTTTTGAAAGTTTTTAGAAAAAGAATTGCAAGTCAATTAGTTTACACTGGATCTGTTTATTATTTAAAAAGTAAAAACAATAGAAGATAGTCTAAAATCCAAAGGACAATGCAAACAAAAATCTTGAAAAAAAGTCACTTAAAAGCAAAGAAACCAGCAGATGAGTAAAAGTAAAAATAGCTGCAAGTTAGAAGTTGCAGAGTGGAAGGTTGGTTGATGTCCATCCATTTACACAGAGGTGACAGCTCAACACCTGTGGCAATTATGGCCAATAACTGCATACACATGATACAAACAGAGAAATAAAATATAGATAAAGTGGATTAGAGGTATAAGCCAGGGAGCATGGCATGATGAAAAGTACTGGTGCACCAGTTTTGACATACGCCAAAGCAGAATTTGAGACGTAAATCTGAAAGTTCATAAATTAAATTCAATAGAATGAGTATATTAAATTTGTAAGGCAACATTTAAAGATTTGATGTACAAAATCAGAAACCATTTGGGGAAGAGAAACCTTGAGCAGATCACTTGTCCATTCAGTCTCATGCACTTGAAAACTAAACATCCCTGTTTGTAAATGACAACCAGGAACTGGAGGTTTAGGTGTGTTATGTCTCCTGTCAGGGCTGGTGAGGCAGGGGATGAGGTGGGGATAGGGTGGGGACAGGGTGTCCCATCAAAAACTGACACCACGTGGATTGTCACTCAGAGCAACTTTACTTAACATTGTTCTGGAAAGTTCTTTCTATGCAATTAGGCCACAGAAAGAAATAAGGTCTAATTAAAGACGAGGTGAAATTATTATTATTTGCATATGATATGATGCTCTATGCAGAAAATTCAGATGAATCAATAGATAAATATGGAACCAACCAGGTGGCTGGTGAAAAAATTTTATAAATAAGTATATAAAATGAAGTGTTTTCAATATGTGAACTGCAACCAGATAAAAAATACCAATTTACAATAGCAAATAAATAAAATAAATAATTAAAAAGGTATTGTGCCTAGGAACAAATTAAAAATATTTCAGATCTACATAAAAATGTTAGAACTTCTCCCTGCATCAGCCTGTGTCTCAATCTCTCCTTTATACCAGTCTCCTCGGCCCTCTATGGATTCTTTTTTTTTTTTCAAATTTCAATTTTTAAGTTTTTCCTTCCTGGGCATTCAATTTGGTCATTTTCGAGTGTGTTTGCATGTTTTTAGATGGTGCTGTGTGCTCCTTTGCAGTCTGTTCTTTCATTATTAAAATCTTTTGGATGGGTACTTTGCAGTTTCTGATAACTCCTGTCACTGACGTTCCTGTGGCTGGGATTTTGCTGACTGCTGCCCCGGGGCATCTTTCTCCTTGTGTGTCTCCCAGTTTCCCAGGGTTAACTTGTTTCTCCTGGAACTTCCTTCCTCCAGGTTGAAGGCAGGTTTGCTTAGAAGAGGATCTTGTATTTCTACTGTTGCGTAGATTCAGGTGAGACATGCTCAGAGCCACTGTAGGATGAATTCTCCATTCGAGTCTCTGGGACGGTGTGATTTGGGTCTAAGAGTGTAAACCAGCCCGATGCGTCACTGTGGCTACAAATCTGAGGGGAAATCTCTCACCACATCCTCAGCACGAAGATTCACGTGAGCAGTTTTCCTCGCCACGGTGTGGAGCTGGGGGTGTTTGCATTTCTTGCTAATCTCTAACCCGAGGGTGGGCCCGTGGGGGCCAGGCTTCGTGCAGGAGGTTAGATCCAGAGGTCCCGAGACCCGCTGCTGGGCCTGCACGTGGCTTTCTCTCTGTGGGGCTGTGGTCAGCGTGGTCTTCAGCTGTCGGGTTCTGGTCTTAACTTACTGTTCGTCGTCTTGCTGACCCTGAGCAACTTGCCAGCTTGTGAAAGTGTCCAGAGAGACTTTAAACGTGTCTGTGTGTGGCATTTCCGTTGTTGGGAGGGGAAGGTCTTCAGCCTGCCTGACCCACACACCGCCCCAAAGCGAAGACCACGGCGAGGCTCAGTCCTCTGGTTCGCAGCTTCAGCTCTTAATAAAGTACAGTATTTAGCCAGGCAACAGCACGTGCAGGGTGGTCACCCACAGAGAGCTGCGTGAATTAAATTACCTGTTCAATTCTAGAATTTGCTATAGTGGGAGGACTGTGTGTCACTGAGGAGAGAATGTGTCACCACTCGGAAGAAAGGGGTAGAAGAGAGGACAGGGCTGGATAGACGGCTCCTGAGTGTCAGGTCCTGCCCACCAGGAGGGTTGATGAGCCGTCCGGGAGCCCAGAGGGCCCAGAAGGCGGGCAGTGCCCTGACCCAGAGAGGAGGACGCTGCGGACTCACCCCGAGGCCACACAGGCCCATCTCAGGCCTTTGGGAATGGGGTTTTCCGTTCCTGTGCTGTGTCCTGAAGAGAACAGCGCTATGTGATCAATTAAGCAGCTGTCAGTCATTTCATGTCGTGTCAAAGCGTGTGACTTACTGACTTTAGTCACTTGAATATCAATAAGCACCAACCTGAAGAAAAGTTGTCATTTATGAGCACTCAGTTGACAGGAAAAATCACGAATCTACTTATCTGTCATAAAATGAGTTTTATGACACTCGTAATAATTAATTTTCCACCACGATCTGCCAAGTGCCTCCCCGGGCAGGAGGGGTCGCACCCGTTGGCCGCTCTGTGCCCACGACTGTCGCCCTCAGCGCCGCACGTTCCCTCATGGGCTGGGGACACCTGTCCCTCCTCCTGTGCTGCGTTTCCCAGGAAACCATCTGAAACCTCCATCCTGCATTCTCCAAACTCCAAACATCTGGCAGGTTGATAAATTTTCTTTTCAACTTTTCTCTCATGTGGAAAAAAAAGAAATAAATTATTACTAGAAGAAAAATTACAAAGTTTCAGTAATTCTTCAAAGTTACAAATAAAGGAAGACTGAGAACGTATAATTTTGATGAGTCTCACAAGCATGCAGGGAACTGGTCAACCTGAATTTATGGTTCAGAAAGTCTTGGTCAGTTCTAAGGTTCAAATTTTTAACAACTATCCAAAGTTACTCTGAAGCTGTTGCTCCAGGAACCATGTGTCGAGAAGGTCTGTTCTAAGGTCTGTAATCTGAATATCCCTGTTTCTTCTTAAATGATCTTCTTCCTTCCATTTCCTGTCTCAGTTACAGAAGCTGCATCTCTGAAAACAAG